AAAAAAAAAAAAAAAAAAGAACTCTGCAAACTCCACTCTAGGCATTCTATACATCTTTTGGAGGTTTTTCACTTAGATTGGCACCTTGGTTCTTTAGAAAAGAACAAATGACTTGTTACTATTACACATGACAAAAGTACTATTTACAAATGATATGGTTTGGTTCTGTGTCCCCACCCAAATCTCATCTTGAATTGTAATAATCCCCAGGTGTCAAGGGCAGGACCAGGTGGAGATAACTGAATCATGGGGGCCATTTCCCCCATGCTGCTCTCATGATAGTGAGTTCTCAGGAGATCTGACAGTTTTATAAGGAGCTTTCTCTCCCCTTTAGTCAGCACTTCTCTTTCCAGCCACCATGAGAAGGATGTGTTTGCTTCCCTTTCCACCATGACTGTAAGCTTCCTGAGCCTCTTTCCTTATATATTATCCAATTTTGGGTATATCTTTATTAGCAGTGTGTGAATGAACTAATACAACAAATAATTTTACATTTTATACATAGAGTCATAAAAAGCAACACATATAGGCTAAGAACATTATACTTCAACAGTCAAGTTATCTGTAATAAAATTCAAGAGAAGGGATTTTTTTTGCCTTGGCATTTGGTCTGTGGTTAAATACCATGTTTTGGCTACTAATTTTCCCCAATAAGTAACATTAAAGTTACTCACCGTAGACTGAGGCAATCCTTTGTTACTGTTTCGACCTCTGAAAAGATTAAATATTATTCTTATTAAATTCAACAGGCTAGATAAGCTGAAAAATATTTTCAAACTTAAAATATAATTCAATTCAAATGAAGGAGGGCTATCTGTGGGGAGAGCTCACCTAATATTAAGTCTAAAGGCTACCTAAGGATGGCTCTACCTGTACACTGCTGGCCTGGAGACTCAGAATAGGAAGGGGTCACAGAAGGAAGGAAACTAGAAAGAGTCAAACTTTATCAAAATCAAATAAAGTAAAATAGCCTACTGAAAGAAAAAAAAAAAACAAAAAACTAATGTTAAATGTAAATTAATAATAATCATAGCCAGGCATGGTGGCATGCACTTCCTAGCTACCGAGGAGGCTGAGGCAGGATCACCAGAGTCCAGGAGTTTGAGGCTACAGTGGGCTATGATCATTGTCACTACAGTCTAGCCTGAGCAACAAAGCAAGACCCTGTCTCTAAATAATAATTTTTACTCCCAAAGTAACCAATCACTGTTATAAAGAGCTACTCACAGAAGCAAAATACGATTATGTTCTTGATTTAACCAAAACAGTTGACTGACACCAAGTCAATTCCCATATTTCACCCCCATCTATAAAAGAAAAACAGGTCATATGGGCCGGGCACAGTGGCTCATGCCTATAATCCCAGCACTTTGGGAGGCCAAGGAAAGCAGATAATGAGGTCAGGAGTTCGAGACCAGCCAGGTCAACATGGCAAGACCCAGTCTCTATTAAAAATACACAGATTAGCCAGGTGTTGTGGCACCTGCCTGTAGTCCCAGCTACTCGGGAGGCTGAGGCAGGAGAACTGCTTGAACCCAGGAGGCAGAGATTGCAGTGAGCCGCGACCGCACCATTGCACTACAGCCTGGGCGATAGAGCGAGACTCTGTCTCAAAAAAGAAAAGGAAAAGAAAAACAGGTCACATAATTACAACTGTAGGAAAAAAAAATGAAAATAATTCAATTCAAAAATTGAAAATAATTCATTCAAAGCACTTTCATTTCTAAATAATATGTGTCTATGTGTGGACTGTTATAACAAGTGCCTTTCCCTGCCAACTCTCTCCCTCAGAAAAGATGCAGTACACAAAAATCAGCTGTCAAGTAATTTCCAGTAAGGTGAACTCTAGTTTCAAGTGATTTTTAGAACATAATACAACCTAAAGCTTATTCCACTGAAAAAGATTAGGCCCCTTAGAATAGTTTAAAAACATCATTAGCCAGGTATGATGGCTCACGCCTATAATCCCAGCACTGTGGGAGGCCAAGGCGGGCAGATCACAAGGTCAGGAGTTCGAGACCAGCCTAACCAACACAGTGAAACCCCATTTCTACTAAAAATACAAAAATTAGCCAGGTGTGGTGGTGGAATCCTGTAATTCCAGCCACTCGGAAGGCTGAGGCAGAAGAATCACTTGAACCTGGGAGACAGAGGATGCAGTGAGCCGAGATCGTTTCCACTGCACTCCAGCCTGGGCAACAGAGTGAGACTCCGTCTCAAAAAAAA